TTGTTGATTTTGAGGTGCTCTTTCTTTCTTTTGGTTAACTGGGCTAGCGGTCTGTCAATCTTGTTTATCTTTTCAAAGAACCAGCTCTTGGATTCGTTGATTATTTGTATTGTTTTCTTTGTTTTGATTTCATCAATTTATGCCCTGATTTTTGTTATTTCTTGTCTCCTGGGTTTGGGTTTTCTTTGTTGTTGCTTTTCAAGTGTCTGGAATTGCAATGTTAAGTCATTTATTTGTGTTCTTTCCGATTTTTTGATGTAGGCACTTAGAGCTATAAACTTCCCTCTAAGGACAACTTTCAGCGTGTCCCAGAGGTTTTGTTGTGTTGTACTGTCCTTTTCATTTAGTTCCAGGAATACTTTTATTTCTTAATTTCTCTTTTACCCATTCATCATTCAGGAATGTGTTGTTTAATCTCCATGTGTTCGTGTGATGATTTTGGCTTCTTCGGGTGTTGATTGTAAGCTTTATTGCATTGTGGTCTGATAGAATGCATGGAATTATTTCAATCTTTCTGCAGTTGTTGAGGTTTGTTTTGTGTCCCAGTATATGGTTGATTTTGGAGAAGGCTCCATGGGATGCTGAGTAGAAAGTATATCCTTTGTTCCTTGGGTGGAATACTTAGTTGATGTCTGTTAAGTCCATTTGATATATGGTATTGTTTAATTCTGATGTCTCTCTATTATCTGTCTGCCCTGTTGACATATCTAATGTAGAGAGTGGGGTATTGAAGTCCCCTACTATGAATGAGTTGGGGTTAATTTGGGTCTTAAAGTCCCATAGTATTGTTTTTATGAAGTTCGGTGTACCAGAGTTTGGTGACTATAAGTTCATGATTGTAATATCTTCTTAATTTACTGTTCCTTTGATCTGAATGAAGTGGCCCTCTTCATCTCTCTGATTAGTTTTAAAGTCTATTTTGTCAGATATTAAAATTGCTATGCCTGCTTTTTTCTTAGTACCATTTGCTTGGTATATTTTTTTCCATCCTTTCACTTTAAGATAGTGTCTGTCCTTGAAAGTGAGATGAGTTTTTTTGCAGACAACAAAAAGATGGGTTTTGTTTCTTAAGCCATTCATATAGTCTGTGTCTTTTGACTGGGGAGTTCAGTCCATTAATGTTTAAAGTTATTAATGAAAGATGAGTATTGAATCCTGTCATT